AAGTGGCAACTCCGGATTCCGAGCAGCTGAAAAGGAAGGGTGAAAGCCCGTGCTTTACGCGCTGCTGTCTCATTCACCCCTTCAACGAGGGAAGGTGTTCGAAATATAGGGGCTTTATCTGATCTTGAGATTCTGGTACAGTGATCTACTTTTGACTACCTGTTGAGTGTTGACTAACGGGGGCTTTGCTTTCGCGGCAATGCCACGTCGTTTTATAAAATGACCTTACCGCGTTAGTTAGACTTGAATGATTCTTTTTTTACAACTCGCCACCGCTGCTCTGAGCTCGCGCATATTAGTCCCCGTGTCTTATTTCAGTGCATGGTTACTTTTCCCCGGTTAGTCCACGCGGTGCAGTGAGGGCCAGAGGTCGATGCTTTTTTCCGAGGGAATACTCTTCCTTTTATGTAGTGCGTTTTAGTTTTCCGCTCGAATCAATTCCGAAGGATAGTGTAAATTTTTCTTAGCTGTGTTTTGCCGGTTTTGATTGTGGTTGATGTTCGAAGATGATTTTCGCGTGAATTTGTTGTGTTTTATCGTCATAATTTTATGATATAGTTCATTCAATTTTTAGATTTTGGATTAAGTTGCCGTTGTCATTAAGGAGCCTTCACGTGAGTTTATTTCTCTATTACATGGGTTTGTTCTGGTTTTTCCCCTTTTTTTCAAATTTTCTTCCTTCTCCTCACTGAGCAATCTATATATTTATTTGAGCTAAAAAAAAAATTATGTCCAAATATTCACCTCTTAATTTTTGAACACCAAAGCGCGGAAATTAGAAACGAACATTAACCCCTCACCACTTTTGCGTACACAGAAATATGACTGTTTAACTTCTCCGCGCCCCTAATTGCATGGACGATAAATTGAAGGAGCATTTAATCACGTAAGTAGTTTTGTCAATTTCTAAAGATTCTCTCCGCGACCATAAGTCTTAATTCGCTAATGCAGATCTGCCTCAGTCATTTAAGAAAATGTAACTGGTCTTATTTTTTATCCAAAGTTAGTAAAAGAACATCTCAGTTCTGCTGCGCCGAGGAAGAACGCCGCAGTTCAGGCCTGAAGCGCCATCAGGCGTTGACAAAGTACGAATTTTCAGGAAAAGTGAATGTTTCTCTTCCAATTTTCCAGGGGTTTTTTTTCGTAATTTGATCTGAAAAGTCTGAAAATTTGAAGAAATTATATTCATAATTTTCTTCAAAAATAGATATTTTCTGACAGGAAATTTGGCAGCAGCGGCGGTTTTACATAGAATGGCAAAGTTCGTACATAACAGCGCGGTGGGGTTGCAATTTGTGACAGACGGTGCAGTGTATTATTATAAAATTTTGACAATTTATTTCTCTTATTTGATTCAAAAATCGTCCAATCATATTTGACCGTCGTCAAAACCCATAAAAAATTAATAACCGGGTAGTTTTCTGCATCCGATGACAGACCGACTTTACGTTTAAGTATGCATGAAAGGGTTCAAATCATCCGGGCCTTGATAGTATCCTTGGTGGCGTTTCCTTGATCTGCCGTCATACTGCAGGCCTGCACTCACCATTATCCAAAAACAAAAACGTCTTGTATCCGTCCAATTGACCCTCGTTAACCTTTTGATCGGCGCGTGTCTAAACACAGGTACAAACCGTCTTCGAGGAACACATTTCAGACTAATGGAAATTGGGATCCTCGTTGAACCCGCTAATTCTTTCATCCTGGTGTTACCGCCCTCGGATTGTTTGGTCTCTTACCAGCAAGCTTTACAACGCTGTTGCCGATTTTCTCATTTTAATCAACTTAAAAGGCTCCTCCCAGAAAGCCCAATTCACACTATCAAAATTTTCATCCGACATAATAATTGAACGAAACGTTGAATGTGATGTTACATTCAAATTTCCGTTCAATTTAACATCAAACTGTCGTATCAGTATCACACTATCCAACTTTTTATTTGACAAGTCGCATTCAAGAGTTAAATGAAAAGTTTTTTTTCTTTTTTTCCTGTTGTGTAATGGCTTTGTGTCAAGCACTTGCAGCCAACAAATGAAAAGTTTGATGGCGTGAATGAGGCTTTATAGGTAAGAATTTGATCTCGATACGCTAAGCATTCTGGAGAGCTAAACTGCAAATCTTTCCAATACTTAGTATTCACTCTACTAATCAGCACTTTCTATTATCTATTGATTCTTTATTTTAGGTGATTCTATAGAATTTTCGAGAACAATTCAAAAGTTGACTAATTAATCAACAGTTTTAGAATTTTAGGACATTTAATCCAAAATTCCTGGAAGGCAAATCACACTGGAAACAAATTCGAAATGTACCGCGGCCTAATCTCTGTTCAAATACCTGACGGACCATCACGTGGTTTGACTTTTAAAGATTTGTGAAAAAAAAATATACGAAAATCTAAAAATTACCGATTGATAGAGTATTGTAATATGTTCTTCAAAGAGCTGAATGTACACCTTCAGGTGATTTGATTTATGCTTGTCATTCCCGCCTTTGGAACCCTCAAAATTAAATAAAATTTTCGTGCACGGATGCATGCAACTTTCCTTTTCTATTGACGAAATTTCAATGACGTTTTCCTATTTTATCTGAATCTGGGCTGCCAATGCACCCAGGGAGAAAAAAAAAGAAGAAGTTAAAACACTAACTTCGCTCAATCATGATTGTAGAATTTGAGTACCTAACTCGTGAATTTTTTTTTAAGTTTTTCACTGCTTTGACTCAAGTTTTAAGACTGTATTATCTGAGAAGTTTTACAGAACCCCTTTTCCTTGTGTCGTAATTCCTACTCCGTTGAAAAACGAGAGGTTTCTCTTATCAAAACTAATTACATCTTATCACTTTTTTTCGATGGAAAAAAAACACCACCCAAAATTTCGAACCTGCAATCCAGTTTTTGTTAGTTTCCTCACTAATTTTCTATTAGAAGCATATTTCTTTTTCCGTCTCCATGCTTGGGAGAAAAATGGTTCCCTCCGGCAACAGTGGATTGAAAGAGGCATTGAGATCGAATATAGACCGGAGTTTAATTAAGGAAATGAGAAAAAGGATCCAGTCTGTGCAGAGCTGTACCTCGACGTAACATTAACCAGAAATATTTATTTCACATCTGCTTTGGGGATTCCATTGCCGTATTAATGCGCTATTTAAAAGCAATCAAACAAATTCGAAACACCTCTCTCGATTCTTCATTGCCTCGGCCTCGGCTGCCGGGTCACGCTTGAAACTCGCTTTTTTACTCTCGCTTCAACCGAAAAAATCAGAGATCCGGCAACGGTGCCCAAAGCCCCGCCGATCAACTTTGGACCACTTGAGGCTGGAGCCAAAGATGAGGGCCTTGCCCCTCACCTTTCGGGCGCTCCATGCGCATGCGTCTCTCTTCCTCTTTACTCGAGAATGTTTTCTTTCTCGGCTAGGTGTGAAGTCTCGGAACTGAATAGGCTCCACGGAAAAAAAGGCGCGACTTCAATCGAATTTCGTTTCATCTCCAAAAACGCAGACTTCGCGACCGAGAGTCTTGTTAGTGTGTATTCTGGCACTCGAGTCTTGGAGCCGGGGTTCGTCTGCCCTTGGCGCCTCTTTGTGTCGGTCGAGTGCGAAGAACCGGAGAAGTGAAGTAATTGAAATTCGAACATAAAGCTGTTCTTTCACACGCTCAACGGGGAAAAAACCTCGGCGAGTTTTTCATTAACTTATGTTCCAAAGAAACCTTCAAAGGAGCACTCACCGAGAAAAATACTCGTGTTCATCTGTTGGAATAGAGCAAGAGGAAGAACGCGCGTTGATTACGGCGCAGAGATACAACTATTCGTGCTTGATGGATGTCCGTGTTGCATCTGCAAAATTGAAGGCGCGATAGCGCAAGGCATGAACTTGCAACTTGTATTGCTCCGCTCTATGCTGCCGGAGATCAGAGGCGGATCCAGCAATTTGGCAACACAGGATTCCCTCCATTTAAACCTATGTTAAATAATCGATTCTTCTTGGAGCACCTGGCCCCTCCAAAAATGGATACATATTTCCATAGGTTTTAACGGAGCAAAAAATGTTGCCAATTTGCTGGATCCGCCAATGATAGAATCGTGTTTTGAAGCTTAACCAATCAACGATATGCGATTTTGATGGTAGATATCGCCCACTTTAATATCGCCTTCAATTTCACCGCATAGGCAACGAAATATTGTCAACCAGCCGATGCAAGTCGTTGTCTCAGACTGAATTGTATTAACCTTCTTCATGACAAAATTTATATAGTCATCAGGTGACACTAACGTTGTTGTCAAATGAACAGGATGAATATCAATCTTCCCCTAAAATATTGTTTTTTTCTCAAATACGGAACGTACAGCGCGACCTCGTAAGCTTTTGATAAGGTCTTCGGATGGATGCAATAAACCGTAAATGAAGCATTACGTAATTTATGAGCGGCCTTTCGGACTAATGAATGAAATTGTTGTCGGATGATGAGATGGGCTAAAATCGGGTGTTGCATGCAAAAACCAGCCTGCAAGTGCGTGGAGTGCTTGCCAACAGACAGGTCGAGCCAAAGCACAAAGTTCACGGCGAACCAGAGTCTGGAGCAGGTTGGGAGCTTTCGTCAACGCCCGCATTTCTCTAGCGTAAGGCACCAATCAGCATCCAACATCTACCTACTCTGCCGTGCTGAGAAAGAACGCCGCATAAGTCTTCAGGGAGCTTGTCATGCTTCCTTCAATAAAAACAAATTTACTGGGAAAATTATGAATTCTATTTGTCAAAAATTTCGCACAATTTTGTTCGCAATTCTGTCCAAATTATCTGAAAATCTCAAGGTAAAATATTCTTAATTTTTCTGTAAAATACTTGTTTTAGCTGGAGAGATTTGGCAACTCTCAAGTGTTCTTACGGCGTTTTTCCTGTGTACGGTTTAGTGCCGGACTCTGAAGATTTACGCACGAACTGGACGTCAAGACCTGCATATTTTGCACTGCGTTGCGTTGCGAGAGACTGATTCATTAAATGTGAAAGTAAGATAATATAGTGTACTTCGATGGAATAGATAATTAATACCCATCTCGCCCGATCTCTACGCGGGAATTAGTTAGCTTTGGTAGAGCTTTTATAAACTTTCCTGTTGATTCTAAAACATAATTTTAAAAAATTGAATTCGAAAATCTGACGAATTACCTTTGGTTTTTTACAATACATACGGGCACATACATTTTTTTAGATCGTTATTTATGTAGATCTGAACCACCACGATCTCATCCCTTTTTTCACGGCAACATATCGCCACCTTTCGGCCGAAGTATCACAAGTGCCATGCGACGTTTCAAAATTCCTGCCATTCAATTTTCTGGGAAGGTATAAAGAATGCATTTACTGGCTGGAAATGACATTTTTTCAGCACTCGGTGACTTAGGAAGAATAAGTTCCTTTTTTTAATAAAGCTTGACATCTTCAAATATTCAAAACGATTAAATAGGTACTAGAAATATCATAAAACTTTGCCAAACACAATTCATGGTAAATACAAATATGAATGCAGCGTAGAAAACCCTTAAAAACTAACAACCGCAGCATGTTATGCCTACAGAAACCAAAGCGCCCGTACTTTTTTGTGTATGCAACACGG